CTTGTTTGTAACATCTGCTTATCTCAGTAAACCTAAAAGTTTCAAAACCACGACAGATGATTTTCGCATAATTGGCTAAAGCCTCGGTGAAATCTTAAATTAAATTTGATAAAAGTAAATTAAAAGTAACAAACAGACTGTTAAAGCATCCTTTATATGCATCCCTTTTAACCCCCACCCCTGAGGTATTTTATGTCAAAATCTAAGGCTAAACAAAAAAGCACTCTGTTTGAAAATAGCTTAATTTTGGTTCACTGATTTAAAGTGTCTCACAAGCAGTAACGGTTGTGACGCAGCTAACATTTTTGTAATTTGAATTTTTCCTCATAAGATTAAGATGTTTTGCAATGTTCAAGTTACTGCTCCTGAGACAAATTCATGTAATACAATTGGTCTGCTTAAATAATCTTAATAGTCCCTCACCATCTGGTTATCTCCTTAAAAAAGTAATTTGGATATATCAACAAAGTTAAAATGGCAAATTGGCCACTGTAACGATTACAAAAGCTGACGTTTTGAGCGTTAGCTTTCGCTCCGACAAAGGGCTAACGCTTGAAACGTCAGCTTTTGTAATCATTACGGTGGCCAATTTACCATTTCAACTTTGTTGATACATCCAAATTATATCTAATTAAAGACACCTATATTTGGTTAGAGTAAGTACCTTTGCAGAGCCCACACTTCCTCTTGCAGTTCTTAACCAGCCAATCATTACCGCAGGCATGCATTGGGTAATCACTGCAATCTTCATGGTCTTTTGCCGCACAAGCACCTGTTGAAAGAGGTCTCTTGTATAAACTACCCAGAAGTTACTCATTCAAATGATATCTGATGTTATTTAAGCACGAGGTATTACAAATTTAGAGAAAAATGTTATATGGGCTGAGAGATTAGTATGGTTAAAAAGTATTAGTAATATTAAGGATGGCTTTTACATGCAAAATAATTCATAGTATGTTGTGCTACAAGTGTGATGTTTTAATATTGACTTTCAACTACATGTACAAGTTACTTTTTTTAGATTATTTTAATACTTTTTACTTAAAAGGTAATTTTAACATTCTAAATAATTAAATATTTTTATTACATTGGTTTAATTTAGCCTTTATTTTCTGAACTTTACGTGGAAAATGGTGAGTTTAGAATTTAGTAGTAATTTGATTGATCACCAACTTGAGAGTCTCACCTTTTGGTTCACCTTTTCCTGAGGGTTCTAACCCTAGAAATTGAAACATCCATTTGAAAAGGCAATCCTCTTTGGTAACCAGTTATAGAATGCCTCTTAGAATTCAACAATTTGTAGTAATTGTTGTAAAGTTTAATCCTCAAACCATTTGCTTTAATTTAAAGCCCTTTCTTAGCTTAACTCAACTCTTTATAAGCTAAAACTAAAACAATTATTGTGGGAATGATGGAATTTTGGTGAGGCTATCAGAAAAGAATTGTGCTATGGTCTCTTTCCATGCACTTTGACACTGTTACCTCATGTGGTTAATCTTGTTGCAGAAATTGTTCTTGTTCGTTCTGGTTTTGTGGTTAAATTCAGCATTTAATCATTTGTCTTACAATAAATGTCAAGCTATTAAATGTATTAGATGGCAATGATTCAACAGTAGTCTTTGTCAGGCACCAAAAGTTTATGCTCCACTATGCATAGCACCTTGGTTTGCTGTTATTGGCATGTTTTGGCAAGCTGTCATTTGTGTCTTTCAATCCTTATCATTATTCAAACTACTATAACTTAGTGTATAGTATAGTCTCATATATTGTTCAGTTTTAGGTTTGTTCATGCAGCCATCTGTTTCAATTTTTTTTTTAAATAATAGTCAGTGTATATTAAAAAAAAAATGAGTGAGAACAAGACATTAAGAAATCATTTTAAAACCATACAAGTTTCATTAAAGGAAAAGTTATAAACAGCATTAATAAATTAGCAAATAGAGCAAGCATTAAAATTGAGGGCAAAGGTTCAAAGAACACTCTCACAAATATCACAACAAAGTTTGTTTACTAACATTAGGATAATAGACAAAACTAGATGGTAAAGAATGAAAAGTGTATCACCAACAGGATATGG